AAATACCCAGTAAACCACAAAACGTAATGAAAACGTTAATAGAACGTAACAGATTATACGTAAAACATAACGGTTACGTAACCTAAGAGGCACACAGACGTATCTATTTCCGCCTCAAAAACGTAACGGCCTGTTTAGTTACGCGAAAACATAACGGTTTCGTTTTTGTAACGTTTCCAAATTGCGCGAAAACGTAACGGTTTCGTTTTTGTTAGGTTTCTAAATTACTAAATTAACGTGTAGGTGTCTTTGATGTAACTTAAAAATTTAATAAAATTTCCTGTAAATATAGAAACCATTTTTTATATTAATTTTATTTCATATTATAATTAAGAATTTACAAAATTTACATAACATATACTTAAAATTACAAAACTACAGAATATAAATTTGGATTTTAAAAATTTGATTAATCTAAAACAAAAAATAACAATTCTAACAAATTTCTATTTAACAGGATGGAATTAAATGTTTTATTTTGATTATAAAATTTTAACCATTGAAAATAAGTCTTGTGTAAAATTCTTGGCAACCTTTGTTTATCAAATTGAAACCATTTCACTGCTTTCTGTTCGTAAATGTATCTAAAACAGAACCAAACAGGTTAGAAACAATTTCTACAAATGTTTATTGATAATATTGATTTAAATTTTTTGTAACATTACCTCTAAAAATATTCATTATTTTCAAGTTATTGACAGCTAGGCAGTCCTTTCAACAATACCAAAAACATATTAATTCTTCATCGAATTACACTTTAGACAATAAAGAAGATTTTAGTCTCTGAATTTTTAAATATATTTTTGCTGAAGTAAAAACAATAGAAGGTTATGATTTGGAAATATTGTGATTATTATTATAAATTGTAACAATACTTCTAATTACCTCTATTTACTTTCATTATTTATTAAGAACAAAGTGCAGCTAATTCCTTTATGAACGTATTGCTCAAATATTGTCTTAATTGTTTCTTGTCAGTTCAGCCAAATTTCATCCACCGACTTTTAAATCATATTTTGCTAAAACTAAATCATAAAAAATAATACTAAATCATCTAATCATCTCTAACTATCATAATGGGGTATACCAATTCCATGACACATGACACGAGTGTCATCATTTAATGCTGTAAAAAATTTTATTCTTCTTCAAATCATTTTTTCGTGATGATGGTGGATTATTATTTTATATTCTAACTTTGCATTCATATTCTTTATTTGAGCAAATATCTTTATTATGTTCTGAGTCATTATATTTCTTCAATTGAAAACCATTGTATTAGTTTTTATTCCTGTTTAGCCGAACTATATTATTGTTACTGAAGGGGCTACAAATATTAAATTTGTATTTGTATATCTCATTTTTACTAACCTTTTGACTCAACATTGCAATAATCATTGAGGTTATGATTTTTTTGTAGAATTTAATTATTATTTGATAAACATACATTTGATGAAAACTTCTACAAATAACAAAATACGCGAATAGAATTTCCATTAAGGTCCAACTATATACTGAAAAAAAAAATCATTATTATAATAATATATAAATTAAAATAATTTACACATGTTTTATATTTATACTTACCTTGATCGATTCCATTTTAAACATTTTAACTGCACACTGCATAACTAATACGTTCTACATTAATCATATAAAATATTAATCATATAAATAATGATTAAATAAATGCTTCAAAAGAATGAAATAATTTGCTTGTCAAAAGATCTTCAATATGAAGCGTCCATTACGTCATTAGTCATAGACAGAAAAGTAAAATATATAGAGTCACGAATAACTTTCAATTGTATTTTCGTGCATAGAGTCTCGCATACATAAAAGAGTAGAACACGTAACCTATCTTTTTGACAGTTTTGTGAAACAGCTGTACCACACCGTCCATTTTGTATGTTAAACTTACAAAACACTGTAACTGAACGGTTACGTTATGAAGAAAACCATGCATTAACGTTTAAAGGTTACAATTAAACGTAACATTTACGTTTTATTAACGTAACCATAAAATACATAACAACGTTTCTTCTGTGCTACGTTACTTTAACTTTATGTGACGTTTGTGGTTTACTGGGTATTATGTATAATAAATATAACATGTGGTGATGTTTATCAACCTTCACCGATTATAGTAGCTCCATTCCATACATATAACTCGCACTCGCAATTATAAAGAGAGTATAGTGTTAAGTTAAAGATTCTAACAACAGTAGGGTTGTTGCCGTCGAAACATTTCGATAAGAACTATTGTGTATTGTATTAGTCGCGTCAGTTGAGTGTTTTTGCATTTTTATGACCGTTATGCAATAATTCGTTGACTATACACATTGTAAGACAATATTGATTTTCTGTGTGGCCTCTTTAAAATCAACGCTCAGATGTGCCGAACCGTCCGCCCAAATGCGAAGCACATTGTGGAATTACACTAGAAATAGAGTGGAATCCCAGTGTGAATAATGTTTGTTTCAATTTCAATGCTATAGCTTAAGTGCTTCATGCTCATGCATTTCTCCAATTCTGCATTTCTGCATTTCTACTCTCACGATCAGATTTTCTACGCGTTATGGAAAAAATAACTAGGACGTCGAGCACGCGTCCTGTGTAAATTACGAATTACAATTATACGACGGATTAGATTTTTTTTTTTTGTACAAACACATGGATGGTAAATGTAGTATAACTAGTGGTGCATGGCATAGTGCCTTGAAGCAAATTGCTGAAACTTTTCGTACGGTAATTTTTTTTTTGAAAACTGAATAGAGTTTTGAGAATTTTTAAATTATTGAAAAAAAAGAACTTTTTTGAAAATATTGTATTTTTTATTTTTCGAAATATTCTGGAAACTTTAATTTTTTTTTAAGCAATCGCGCTGCGTAGCGAAATATCAAAGAGCCTAATAAAATATCTGATATTTTGATGTGCATATATTTAATGATCATTTTTGACCGCCAAAGGGCTTTTTTAACTTCTCGTAGGGTAAGTTATTGTAATGGGCCGAAAATTGAAATTAAAATTTTTTATATTTCTCGACGTTTTGAAGGTTTCAGAACATTTTGGCATACCTCAGAAAAAATGGATGTGTGTGTGTATGTATGTATGGATACAAATTTTCAGTCACGTTTTCGGGCGCACGGATCAACCGATTTGAATGGCTCAAAAAACATTCGATTCCTATTGATAGGAGGATGTGCTGATTAGTTTTTGGCAAAGGCAGGTCCGGCAGTTACGGAGATAAAGAGCAAATAGTGCAGAAAATGGAAATCGAGTTTTTGAGAGAACGAAGCATCCGATTTGAATGATTGGGAGAAGTGTTTATTGGCAAAGGCAGGCCCAGCCATTTCGAAGATACTGAGCTAAATGTGTAAAAAATGTTAGTTTTTGAAAGAACTAAGCGTCCGACTTAAATGATTTAAAGAACTTTCTGCTTGTCTTAACAAAATAATTGATTTTGGAAAAAAAAATTGTTTCAACTTTTTTTTTTCTAATATTTTTTTGTATATCGAAAATAATTCAGATTTTATTTTTAATTCTGACTATGGTTCTAATATACTTTAAACAAATAATTTTAACTTTGCAATTTAGTTTATATAATTCTTATAAATATTAGACAATGTTACAATATTAATAATAATTTATTTGAAAACATTCAGTATTCCTCGAACATTTCGTTACGGTATGGAAAGTTCCAGCAATTTGCCTTAAGGCACAATGCCATACACTCCACTAGTTACTTTTATTATTGGAACTCCAAAATCGCTGGATCAAAAATTTAATCAGTTTTTTATTCCGTCAATACAAGTGAAATGTTTTTTGAATCATTCAAATCGGACGCTCCGTTACCTCAAAAACTGAAAAACCACTTCTGGCACTTTTTGTCGCGTATCTTCGAAACAGTTGGACCTGCCTTTGCCAAAAACTAATCAGCACATATTCCTTTCAATAAAAATCGAAATGGTCAATGAAAAATTGTATCCGCGCATTCATATACATACATGCATACATACATACACACACACATACATCAATTTGCCAAAATGTTCAAAGGACTTTGAAATGTGAATATATATAACATTTTTTATTGTAGATTTTTTTTTTGCGATTACCCTACGGGAAGTTAAAAATATATTACATTGTATATAATACATTTTTAATATAATATAATAAATACATATTTAATGATTTTTTAATTTCTGTACTAATAGCCTTTTTTCCTTTGGAAAAATTTTCTTTCAATTATTTTATTCAACGTTTCGGGGATGTTCAACTTCATCAGATAAATAAAATAAATTTTAAATTAGCTTGTCCTTGATTCATTAAAGTTGAAAATGATTATTTGAAAATTATATATTGTGATAATAATTATTTTCTTTTTTGGGGAATATAAAATAATTTACCTAGAAAGTGTAAAAAATTGAAAAATAAAATTAACTTTGAGTCAGTGATTTAAAATAAACTTATCGGTCAATTATCAATTACATAAGTGTAAAAAACTGTCGTAGATAACGATTATAAATAAAAATAGAGTTGCAATCGGATTTTTGAAAGTTGCAAATTAATTTAAGTGCTTAAATTTTATTGTATTACATATTTAATTTTAAATTTAAATTTTATTGCATTACTGTGTCTTGGATTTTTACTGTGCAAGATATTTTTTCTTGGTTCGGCGTTTAAAATTACTAGTTTGTCAAAGATAATATTGTGATAATGTGATTATATGTGTTTAATAAGTTTTAATTTATTTTTTGAATTTTGTATTTGGTGTTAATATATAATATATATTAACCAGTTAATAAAGGATATCGGTCGTACAGAATCGATTCCATATTGGTGTTTCATCTTTCAATTAATGCCAATGGTTCAAATAATAAATATTAAACTATTAAATATTATTTCAAAAAAATAGTTTAGCATTATCCATAAAAACAATAAATATTTTCTTCAAATTTTTTAACCATAAACAAAAAGTTACTTGATATCAATTACTACAAATAATCTAGTTCAAACCAGTGAAAATATAAATTAATAATACCGTAAATTGGCTTCGATATTATTTATCTTTTGGACAAATATTTCTATATTCTATTATAATCATTATATAATTTATTATTATTTTTGCTTTTAATAATTATTTATTGAAATTGAAAAAAAACTTTGTCACTAATGATGAACCCCAAAATTTAAATAAAAGAAAAGAAAGAACTACATGTTAAAAATTACATTCATAAATAATTTTCTAAAACGTATTTTCTAATTTTCAGGTGCATGGCGGTTGTCGTGTGTCACTGGGATCGGATTGTCAATTCGGGAACCTGCAGGCGATATATTTGCCTCCTCATGCAGTCAGCATCCCTCGTACGGAGGTGCCTATGGAGGCCATTATTGGCGTGCAGGTTCGGCCGCGGGGCGGACTTACGCGGGACTATAGCTGTCGTACGTAACCATTATAATAATAATAATAATAATAATAATAAATCGATAGAATATTCACTGTTTTATACACTTTTATGCATTTTCTTTTCCAAACTTGTGTTCCCATGATCCCTGGCCCTGCGCTTCAGCTTTCAGTTTTCTGCAGTTTCACCTTTCGCTTCTTCACAATCGTTTTAGTCTTTTTATTTTACCTTCGATGACGTCGTGTAGAAGGATTTTAGTTTTAATAATTGTTAACTAAGATTAGTTTTAATAATTGTGTTCAGTAAAGTTCTTTGTTTGCCCACTCATTTCAGTACTTCTTCATTAGTTATCTTATCTGTCCACATTATCTTTTCCATTTGTCTCCAGCACATTTTAAAACTTTCTTTCGTCTGCCATTCTTCTCGAGTACATGTCTCTGATCCGTACAGGGCTGTGCTCCAGGCATAACAATAGCAATATTGAAAATATCAGTTCAGGTGTTCCTCAGGGACCCATTCTTGGTCCACTACTATTTATTATTTTTATTGAAGACATATCTGAAATTATTAGCTGTCCACATTTATTATTTGCAGATGATCTCAAACTATATCTCAAAATAAATTCTATTGATGACTGCTTATTATTACAGTCTCAACTTCACTCTTTCCACTCTTGGTGTGTCTATAATAAATTACATTTAAATACATCAAAGTGCAAAATTCTTAGTTTTTCACATAAGCGCGTTCCAATACATTTTGATTATAAAATTTCTAACACCAGCATTGATAGATGTACTAAAATTTCAGATTTTGGAGTTTTATTTGATTCTGGTTTGTTTTTCACTGACCATATAACTGATATTTGTAATAGTGCATATAAATTTTTAGGTTTGATACTGAGAAATTGTAAACAATTCAGTTCTAACAATGCACTTCTTTGCATGTACTATTCTAATGTACGTTCAAAATTAGAATATGGTTCGATTATTTAGTATACTCATCAAATCAACAACTCTGATGCGATAGAGAAGGTTCAGCGAAAATTTCTGAAATATTTTTATTACAAAACATATAAAATTCACCCTGAACGTGGCTTTGACCACAACACTTTACTAAAAGAATTTGCTATTCCTTCCCTTGCCTCACGTCGATTTATCTGTACAATTATGTCTTATTTAAACTTTGCAATAATGCTATAGAATAGACTGTCTTTTTATTCTTAACCAACTATCCTTTAATGTTCCAAGGCTATCTACGCGTTCACAATTATTTTTTAATTATCCTTCTCCTAAATTTGCCTATTTTACTTATGTCCTCTAACTTAATTAATAATGAAATAGATATTCACAACACTTCACCTAATCAAATAATCTCCATCTGCACAAGTTAACTTTTTATTTTCTTTTCAAATATCTCATTATTTTATCTTATTCTGTTTATAAATAATATTGTTACATTCTGCATTATTAGTAATTTTATGTTAGGCGTTTTATGTTAATAACTATATATTGTAATTTTGTATACATTTTAATTGTTATTCATTATGTAAAATAATTGTATTTTTGAGTCCTCTTGGAAGAAATCTGTGGGCTATATATTTAAAATAAATAAATAAATAAAAATGAATAACACTTTATCATCTCTTTTGCAAGTCGAGACTCAGTTTGCTCGTCGGTAGCTACCTCTTTTTCTTGCGTTAACGTTTCTCAAATATTTGAAATGATCCACGTCTTCCAATTATCGATTTCCTACCTCAGTCATCTTGTTTCAAGTAATCGATATATATTTCTAATGATGTATTCTCTGATGATACATATCTATTTTTGCAGCTCGAAGTATTTCAGAAGAATTCAGCAGTGGGGACGCAGCGAGGTATCGCGATGAAGAAATTAGTTCATCATCAGGTATAATACTAAATGAATACATTAGATTCTCTGTTTGGATAAAATATTATTGTTAATTATTTGTAGTCAAAACAGATGCGGGACATAATCGTGATTCTAAATGCGATAAGGGTAAAGAGAAGGAGGACAAAGATGAAGGTTTGTCATTAATAAATAACACTGCAGTATGATGAATTTTAACTGTAAAATCTGTATCTTTTGCAGAAGTGATCAAAGTATTTGACGGCAATTGTTCACTTCGACGTCGAATATTTCGCACGATATCTGTGTCCCGTACAGCATCAGCCGAGACTCTCCTGCTGGCCTCCCTACGTGCTTTTCACATTGGCAAAGAACCCAGTGAGTTTTATTTGACGGACCTTTACGCCGGCGACGATGTTCGCGTTCAGGATCCTTTGCCGGTTACTACACTGCAACGTGTCGAAGGAAAACGGCCAGCCGTTTTTCTTCGATTCAGGTAAATAATAATTTTAACTAGTTGGTATTGGTATTTTCCCTTGAGGGAAGTTACATGAACTTCCCGATATGTGTAAATAATCGACTTAATCAATAAATAATAAGTTAATTTATGAGTGATTAGAAGTATTCCGAGTGGATTTATTACACATCATTGCAAACGAACGAACACGTTAACTCGGAGTATTTTCTAAAAGCAAATTTTCAAAAATCAATAATTTTTATAATTGAACCAGTTTCCATAAGACTTTAATGGTTTACTATGTTCAAGACCAAGTACACTATCGTTATACCAACTAAATCATCTAATTTTACTTTTAATAAACATCAAAAAAACTACTCATTTTCTCAAACTTTGTTGAATTTTTAAAATTAAACTACTTGTCGTAAGGCCGTAATAATTCAGTAAGTTCTATAAGACCATGATGTATATCGCCAAAAAAAGTTCCATAAAAATCGGCCTAAATTTTTTTTTCAACAGTTAATTCCAAGAAAACGGGTCGGTAGATTTTCACCTAAAACTAATCAGTATCATTCCCAACTAATATCTTTCGAACAGTTTTTGATTTTTTAAAATCGGTTCGGTAGTATGAGCTTAAATGTGGACGAAAAGTTTAACACTTTTTTCCAAATTACAAAGAAACGGCTCGGCCGATCGTCGCACAAAACTGAGAAACGACAATCCTCATCGAGATACATCAAATTCTTTTTAAATATCTGAAATCGGTTCAGGCGTTTTTGAGCATACGTCGATGAAAGTTCTAATTTTGACAAATGCCAAAAAGGCCATACTAATTTTTGCAAACTTTGACGAATTTTTAAAGCTAAACCAGTTGTCGTAGAGCCGTAATATTTTAGTATGATCTAGAACGCTATGGTATCTAGTCTTAGCGTCAAAAAAATAATCATAAAAATTGTCGATTTTTTTTTTAAACATTATTACAAGAAAACGGCCTGGCCGATCTTTACCAAAAACTTATCAGCACGATTCCCAACCAATATCTTTCGAACGGTTTTTGAATTTTCAAAATCGATTCAGAATTGCGGGCTAAAACGTAGACGAAAATTTTTTTACTTTTCTGCGATTTATAAAGAAACGGCTTGGCCGATCGTCGCACAAAATTGACAAGCAATAGTCCTCATCGGGATACATCGTGTGGCTTTTAAATTTTTAAAATCGGTCCAGCCGTTTTCGAGAAAACGTCGATTTACGGCAAAAAATCTGTTCACATACACGCACACACACATACACACACACACACATACTTTTTCTAAATTTCTTCAGAATGGCTTGAAACGTCGAAAAAACATAAAATTAGCAATTCGGATTTTTTGATGAAAACATAAACTTCTCTTTCGGGAAGTTAATAAACTAATCAGATATTGATATTATGTAAATGTTAATTAAAAATAAATTACTAGGGATCGTGAAATTGAACATGGTGTTGTGCGGGTTTATCCTGGAAAACTTCAAGTATCGGAACCGTTCTGCACGATACAGGTGACAAATGACACTACTGTAAAGGATCTTATCCGACTAGCATTAGACAAATTTGGATTAAATGATTATCAATGCGAAGATTATCGGTGCTCTGAGATTCTTCTGGATAGAGGCGGTAAGCATCATTATATAATTTTCTCGAAAATACAGGTTTTATTATTTATTATTTATTTTCCATTTAGTATCAGAACGAGTGCTTTCATGGACTGAAAGACCGTGGGAAATAGTCAAATCGCTCGCAAAAGACTCAATTAGGCAAATGGAATTAATGCGATTCTATTTGCAACTAAAACAAGACCCACATGGTCCAAACTTAGCACTATTTGTTGCCAATCTACCACCGGGTTTATCAGAAAGAAACTATGAAAATATACTTACAGAGTACTTAGGGAAAGGTAATTGAAATACATTAGCTCAAATGTACACCTATACCATATATTTATATATGTTTTTATTCTAGAAAACAAATTTTCTTCAATTGGTCCTATTTATTATGAATACGGTTCGCTGGTTATCACTTACGAAGATGCTTCTAAGGCAGTGAGAGCATTGTATGCGTTACGCGAATCACGACATGAAGACAAACACTTTCTCGGTGAATATTACATAATGCATATACACTTAAAATATACAGCAATGCAAACAGTCCTAATATTTTGTTAAAATAAACGTAATATTATTTTCAGTTCTTTTACTTCCCAATATTGAACCCAGCATGGTGCCTCAAGGTGTTCAACCACTTCTAGTATTTGTGAATGTTAAATCTGGAGGGTGCCAAGGATTAGAGTTGATCTCATCATTTAGAAAATTATTGAATCCATATCAAGTATTTGATCTTGATAATGGAGGTCCTCTTCCAGGGTAATTTTTATATTACTTTGTTAGGCATTAATCATTTTTAAACAATCTTTGATATTTAACTTTATTATGTAGATTGTACGTTTTTCGGCATATAAAGGATTATAAGATTCTGGTTTGTGGAGGCGATGGTACCATCGGTTGGGTATTGCAATGTTTGGATAACGTCGGACAGGATTCCGAATGTTCATCGCCCGCGTGCGCTATCGTACCTCTTGGAACAGGTAAATTAAATCTCAAATCAATTCAAAATATGATATAATATTGGAACTAATTAATTTTTTTCTCCAGGCAATGATTTAGCTCGTGTTTTACGTTGGGGACCAGGGTATACAGGCGGGGAAGATCCTCTCAATTTATTAAGAGACGTAATCGAAGCTGAAGAAATTCGCTTGGATCGATGGACGGTTGTCTTCCATCCTGAAGACAAATCTGAAGATCAGAAGCAGCCGACGAATGTCATCGGTAAGAAGAAGCGGCCGAAATTCGTGCCCAAAATACACAATGATATAGAAAAACAAAAAACTACGTCAGTCACAGGTTTACATATTTTTTAAACTTTTTGTGTTTATTATTTATTTCACATCATTACAACAAAAATTTATTTGAAAGACACTGTATGTTTATACATAAAATAGTATGACAAATTCGCTAGATAGATGTCTGTAGATAAATCCTTATGCATTCGTTTACAACTACATACTTAGGCGCAAGATATATTTTTATTAAAGCATTTTCTAACATCAAACACATAAGAAATTAAGATATAAATTAAAAATCACGATTTTTTAAAAATTATATTTTTCCAGCCAAAATGATAAACTGTATGATTTTCATTTTACTATCAAACAACAATTACTTAGAGACATGAAATTTATGTTGTGCCCATGTATGTGCATTTATTATGATCTGCTATCTTTAATGGGTTCCCTTCGAATAAAGGCTTGTAAGACAGTCATGAAATCAACGAAAATTATAACAATTTCTGAACCAGTAAGGATTCCTTTATTATAAACACTTTTTAATTATGTCGAAATGTTTCGAAACATATCTTGAATATAGCAAATTTATTGGCTGGATAATAATTCCATTGATAAAATTCAATTAATAATTATTAGGTTACTTGTTAGATGAATTTAAAGGGTTTGGTCCGCATTCTCATACAAAATTGGCCTCGCCCAGGTATTTGTAGGATGTCATTTTGAAGGTTTTTATGAAACAGAATTGATATACCAATTTTCAACTCTTTACCACACACAACATTTAGCCTAAATATTTTTTGAAATAAGCGAAAGTGACCCTTTTCTACAGATGGTATAAAGTTAATAAAAATTTAAGCAAACTTTATAACAGTTTTGAAAACGTAATATATTTCATGTTTACTTTCGTCATTAAATGCGAAAACAAAGTATTATATGCTCTAAAATTTTTGGATCAAAATATTTAAATTATTTCGAACAACTTGCACTGCCAGGATGAAAAATTACTTATTATTAACATTAGCTATTATGACTGATGAAGTAGAAGGTTTAAAATTGGTATAGATTTTTTTTAAAAGATCTTTGACATGTATATATATCGATTAAATATTAAGGTGGAGCCAATTTTGCAAGGCAATGCGTCTATACATACCCCTATGTGTTTCGTAAAACCTTTATTTGATTCATAGCATATTTTAAATATGGTTTATTTGTAATTTAAAATGAATCGTGTAAACTTGCATGCTGTACTATATAAATGTTGCAAAATGTTGACAACATTTAATAGAATATATTTCTTTAACATTACGATTGCACTATTTGATATACATGTCTGGAAATGTACATATATTATATAGGTATATGTAAGAATATATAGGGTTGCATTCGTGTATATATATATATATATATATATATATATATATATATATACATATCTGTGTGTATTACTTCTATGCGTACAAGAATTAAGTTTATAATTCCTAAAATTTATTATTGCACGCGATGCCTATATCAACAATAAAACATTAAAGGTATTTAATTGCTCTTTAATATTCCATTATTTTATCGAAATAAGCCAGAATAAATATATCTGTTGTTCTCATAAAGAAATTAAGATAATCTAGTATACATAATTTGATTTTATTTTCAGTGAGTGGTTCACAAAGCGAGGACAATTCTCAAATTTTCGTAATGAACAATTATTTTGGAATCGGAATCGACGCCGATCTCTGCTTGGATTTCCATAACGCTCGCGAAGAGAATCCAAATAAATTCAATAGCAGGTATGTAAAAAACTATTTGATAATTTAACCCTAATATTTAAAAACTTAACCAGTTAACTGTGGCGCGCTCAACGATATGATATAAGCTATATAATAGCTTATGGTTACTGATTTATAAGCCAATATACAAAATTTTACCACTTTTCCATGACTAGGACTTGTGACGACTGGTCAACCACAGTTAACTTATTAAGCATAGTATAAAAAGTCGTTTATGGTAATCTCAAACATTGCAAATAATATTCATTCTATTTAATCTATTATCTTACTTTAGGTTACATAATAAAGGCGTCTATGTAAAAATGGGTTTACGTAAAATGGTTGGACGAAAAATGTGCAAAGAGCTTCATAAAGAAGTTCGACTCGAAGTCGATGGTAAACTGGTAGAACTACCTCCAGTCGAAGGAATTATTATACTAAACATTCTCAGGTAAGAACTTGTTTATCCAAAACGCTAGCAAATAGGATTAATATAAATTATTTTGATAGCTGGGGCTCTGGTGCAAATCCTTGGGGAGTAGAAAAAGAGGATCATTTCACGAAACCTAATCATTGGGACGGTATGCTTGAAGTGGTCGGAGTTACTGGTGTTGTACATTTAGGCCAAATACAGTCTGGACTGCGTTCAGCAATGCGTATTGCACAGGTATAAATCATAAACAGACAAACCTCTGACAACGCGGTTTCCATACTACGCAAAGCTGAAGTTGCGACAGTCGTCTAATTTTTGTTCAACAGTTCATAAGTAACTAGATATTGTTGTAAAAGGTTTTAATATCGACTATTTTATTTTTTACAATATGTTCATGTAATCATGGCAGTTTATATAAATGCTGTATACGACATCAGTGTTAGTAGTGGCAGGACCTTTTTACAGTACATTAGTCGTTCTAACAGAGAAGTAAGAACACATTGAGCTTACATTTTTTTGTTGGAAAACAGTTTATGTTTTATTTTATTATATAAACTCTCAAGTTAATAAAAACAATGCCGTAAGGGAGCGTCCAATAATCACGTGATCGATTTTTAAGGATTTTTGGATCCTCCCTCTCCCTTGGTGATACGTGGTGATATTCAAATTTACTTTTCCACTCTCAACAAACACTACATGTATTTATAGTTACGAGAAATAATTGTACAATTTTTGAATTTTTTTTTGAAAATGTTTGGATTTTTTTAAAAAATTCTGATAAAAAATAAATACACGTGTTATCTTACTATACCCCTCCCTTTCCCACGTAATATTTCGTGATTTTTGTCAACCCCCCCCCCTCATAAAAACCATACATGATTAATGGACGCCCCCTAATTTTTACTAATCATGATTTTTTTATAGCGCTGTTTCCATACAACGTGATTAGCGAATTTCATAAAACGCGCTACGAATTAATCTGGATTGCACGGTACGCGTTCGCCGCGTTATCGGAGGGCTTACTGTAATTTCAGTACTAATTATTTTTGTTACTATCAAATTACAATTTAACTTGATTGATATGTGTTTCTAATTAGGGTGGTCATATCAAAATACATTTGAATTCTGATATACCAGTTCAAGTGGATGGTGAACCTTGGGTACAAAGCCCTGGAGATGTTGTGGTTCTCAAATCTGCACTTAAGGTCAGTAATCAATTAAAATATATTAATTTGATCTATGTAATGAACTTCACTTACGATCAAAGTATTTTTAAGGCAAATTTAATGTCTTAAAGACTAAATTGATTGTATTTAACAAAAAGTTTGAGATGGTCATTACACAGAATTTTTTTCAAAATTTTCCATGTTACTTATTCAAAAATATTATCTATTTATAACAATGTTTGTTAAAATATGCTTCCTTTGAACCATTGGCTTGCAAAAATGATTCATTCAATCGCAACCTTTTAGTTTGTATTGTAGTTTGCAGTAAAGCATGTTTGATCCTGTTTTATAGTATGCTAGTCTAAAACCGTTTTATACCATGAATATTTTCTTGCATGATACAATGATATATGAGAGCAGCAATTAGTTATAATTAATACAAAAATTGATTATTTATATTAAATTTAAATTATATATAAAGTTTTATTTGAGAAGTTGTTAATAAAAATAAAATAGTTAAATTTCTAATTCAATTGATGTTAATTAATGTTGGACACTTTATATGAAAGTTAAAGCCTTAAAGCAAATAAATAATAGGATCATAACGTGTTACAGTTTGAGTAACTATATATTATCTTATATTTTGCGCCTTAGGCAACAATGCTGAAGAAACTTAAATCGAGGCGTCGTCTGACTGAGCCGTACATTACTCCCGAGAATGGAAATGACAATTGTGATAAATCCTAGAATTTTCAAAAATCCAGGCACAATTTCCTATTGTATTATTTATTTTAAAAACACATCCTTTGTAATTGTTTCGCAAATTAAACAGACCGGCCGTATCCTATATTGCAAATGAATCCACATATTTAGCAATTTGGCACTTAATTTACCTAGTTATATATATATTATATTTGTTATGTCACATTCCAATATTAACATCAAACAAATCTTGTTCCATTAATCATGTCGCTTTGAATGTAGTTGCTCTAGTAATACATACCTTTGTAATGCTCACTTCCAAAAAGTATCATTTTTTAGTATATTTCTAAATTTGTTTCTTAGAAATTCAGATTCTAATGTGTCTGCTCACGATATTGTCAGTAGGACACGTTATGTCAAATTGTTAAATATATTTATTTTTGTTTTTCCTACACTGCCTGCCTGCTCCTAAACTATGTCGCATCATTTAACTGGACATGGCGAACGGATATCAGGCTACGATGTTGAAAAAACTGAAAGGCAAGATGAAACGACGAAATACCGAACCGTTAGGATTGTTGCCGCTCAGTTTAACTGCCGGCGGTTCTAGTCCCCTGGAAGGTAAATCATCGGGATTGTTGTCCGACACGTCGCCAGCCGACCAGGACGACCAAATTCCGGCCAGGGTCTCCTTGGCCTCAACACCTCAAGATCTATCGTTGCACGACAATGACGCACAAGACGACACAGACTTCTGAATTTGGTATTGCGAACGCTTGATTTAAATGACTGACGGTCTTCTGAACGACTTCGAAATGAACCGCTCGTTTCTACATTTAATATTGTACCATATTATAACTCAAAGACGTTACACTCAATCCTTTAAATCAAACGTCGCAATATACCTGTATTATTTTTTTATTTATTTAATATTTATACCGTTATATTTATGACAAGGGCAGGCATTTTAATGTTAATTAGCTTGTGGCTAAACTCTAAATAACGCTAGGAAATTTCAGCAGAAACTAATTTCAGTATGAGTGATAGTTGAGCGCTTGATTGGGTGCTGTTCCGAATGAATGATTGAAATGGAGAATATTAAGGGGCAAGTATACTTAAAATTAGTGTGATTTGGTCACATCTCTTGAATATCTGCTATTGGTCAGTAGCATAATATATTATGTGTGCGAAAAGAATTATAACATTTTATCAAAGTTTTAACGTATATAATTTCATGAATTTGGCTTGCAATGTTCAACACACGCATACAATTACATGAGATTTTTATAAATTGTACATTTTGTCATCCAGTGCAATGAAATTCATATATGTATCATTTTATAAATGATATATAAAAAGGCGTTTCTTAAAATTGCATTTAATTTATAACAAAGTTATTATATAGGATAGAATTCCGCATATAATACAATCAATTTTTATTAGGGAAATTTAGAAACTATTAAAACATTTTGTTTTCCTTCTAGTCAACAGCAGTTATTCTTATATGGGTGTTTAGTGATTTTCATGTTTATATTAATGATCTCAAGATTATTTAATCCAGATGTCTAAACAACTCAATATTTATTTATTCATTTATTTATAAGTCGTAAAAATAATAAATGTTATTTAAGGCTATTGTCAGCTTTAGTTAAATTGGGAAAATATCCCATCTATGCACAACAAATACCACTCATGTGCAGTACTTGAATTTGATTGGAAATGCATTAATAAGCAAATCAAATAGTATAATGAACAACTTAATTAATATTGTGATGTTGATAATTATTGCTGATTGGTGGCATTTAATTATTTATTTGCTACCATTCAGTAGTGAATTATTAGTTTTAGATTAAATTTTAAGACGGACCGGTTGCAGATCATGAACCGTACTGATGCTGATCCCAATGTGCGATCGCAGTGCGAAAAAGCGATAAAATTTTATTAGTGAGAGCACAATTAACCGCTAATGTATAATCGAATCATCGTGAGTAATAAAGATGAAATAGATATCACCGATTTTAAAAATGTATTATGCAATGGACTTTTGTATTCAGATCGGTGATATGTGAACGCGACACGTGATCAATTCGGTGTATATGAATACACACAGTTCACATGTTGGATGTAAACAGACGGCGCCCTGTATTATTGAGATGCAATTTAAACCATCAGATTAATAATCCAATGTATAGGCGCAGAATGGATTTCAATTAATAGCCAAAACACAACAATGAAGTTTTAAAATTGATTTGAATTCATTATTTATGTTGATATATAAATATATATTCTGTTAATAGTGCCAAATTCAAAAGGGGCGTTATGGCGCGCTCGGGTAGTCGCGCTTAGGGCGCCGGATCTGTATCGAAAGAAATGTGGACACAATTATCCTTTTCCCTATTGCCTTGTAAATTCCTACATCTGATTCCTATCCTGCAGGGCTGTTGCCGATGTCCGGGGTCGCGGGTCGAGTGGAGTTTGGCCCTCGACCTCGGACCACTTAGGCACACCGGCCCGTTCCCGTCTAAGCCGCCTCGTATTTGGTCGGTGTACGATGCCTCCGAAGCGTCTTTGAAGTGGTCAATGTTCATGGGGCTCAACTGTTCCTATAGGCTCACCGGCCAGTTTGCCTTACGATCAGTAATGAACTAGAATCACTTTAAATACCTTCGCATCAAACAATTTTTAAATAGTACGTAATTTACAATTGTAAACAAAATTGTCATTGTATATACTTATATGTGTATATGTATACACATATATTTATATAGTTATTTATACATATTATATATAATATATATGAATATGTATATATGGTGTTATCGATAAAATTAATTTTCACTAACACATTGTTAGGTTTTTTAATATGTTTTAAACTTCATTTCGCAATTTTATATAAATATGATAGATAAAATGTTGTCACGATAATAGTTGATTTGAATATATATGTAGATAGAGAATGCAATCATTTGGATGATATATTTCCCAAAGTGCAATGTTTATTGCTAAGATATATTTTACATAGGTTCATGTATCTAGTTACATGTATTCAATTTACTATTTCGTGGCAATGAATTAATCAGAGTTATTTTGTGTAATTCTTCAATTTCACTTATAATGAGTATTTGAATATTTTGTTGAAATTACTAAAAATGTTTATCTGTATATGTGATTGAATAGAGTAAAACTAAAATACTTTGTGGATATAATGAGATGAAAATAAATAAATGTAATTAAAAATGATCAGTTTAAATATTTGATATTAATGGTTTTTTATCATTTCAGGAGAGCCACAGGTTTAAAAACCAATATACGATAAAACTATGTAACAGAGGTAGAATGAATGAAGTTCTATGATGATAATAAATTGTTTGAATTGAGAAGAATTAGAAGATAATTTCTGAGTGTTTGATATGTTCTATACTATAAGCTATTAAAAAACAGTATTTTCATATTGCTATTTATTAATTCTAAATTATTTATTAAATTGTGAGTGAAACACAATGGTGCATACAAATTTTTTATTTTATTTTTTAAAAAATGTATGGTATAATTATCTATTCTATTATACCAACCTTATTATTAAAACGAAATTGACAAAGTGATGAAATGGAATACTTTGAGCGATTTCTTTTATTCCCTTCATGCATTTTCTTGTAACTTTTGGGGTAATTTACATATCCCATAGCACTTTTTATTCTTCTATTTGAATGAGCTATCTTTATTGAATCTGCTTTTGCAAATCTACTTTCATTTGGTATACATGATCCTCTTCTTGCATTATTTTTGGATATTGGGTTAGCAAGAGCATTTAAAAGAAAAGTTCTTTAGGTGTCGAAGGCTATAAATAATGATTTATGTTAACCTTATGCAATAAATAAGTAATATAACATACTTACACATTCTTCAATATTTTTAGAAACCCAACTGTCTCCAAAACATCCATTCATAATTTTTTGCTGTTTTGTTTTACTAGGTTTCTTCACTTTTATATCTTGTTCCTGCTGAGATTTTGTATCAGCGATAACTCTGTTATTAATTCTTGTATAATTTCTATGTATATAAGTCAACAACCAATTGTACCCACTTTCAATATTTTCATTGGGATCTGGTAAACGCACAGCACTGCAAGGTTGTACCAATGTTGGACACTGGTATTTATTGACCATATCTTCAATCCCCAACTTTTCTACAATATCTATTTCATCTAAGGCACCTTCACAATCTTGCTTATTTGCAAAAATAAGTATAGGTTTTCCATTAATTTGTTTATGGCAAACGACTTCATTTAATATGTGTTGACATTCAGCAAGACGTTGCAAATCACTAGAATCAACAACAAATATGAGTCCGTGGGCCTGTAATTTAAATTTCAAATAAATGCATATTTGATTAAATTCAAGTGTAAAATAATATTCACATCTAAATAGTATTTGGGCCAAATGTTTCGGATTTGTTCACTTCCACCTAGTTCGTAAAGAAAAACATTATGTTTATCACAATTTAGGTTCTGCATAGAGAAACCAATTGTCGGTAATACATTAGTGAAATCTTCTTTTCTCAAACGATTAGCAATTACAGTTTTGCCTGCATTATCCAATCCCAATAGCAAGAGAACGACACTATAAAAATAATTATTATTCGGTGATGGTAACTAACCATTAATATAACAAATATATACTCTACTTTTGTTGTGATGTTTTAGATGTAAATCTCATGCACAAATTTTTCCCATAGCTTATATTTATAAGAGACGAAAAAACATTTTTAATATAAATGTAAACAAATCATTGTTAGGTAAACAAAGGCCATCATATATCGATCGTGACATTTGAATCAAAATATAAACAGAACGCTGCTGTGAACAGTACTGCCACCATAATAATGCTTTGATTGGTTGTTATGGTGACAGTTGTTATCTATGGCTGTGTTCATTGTTTTGCACAGTTTTGCACAACTTAAGGATTTCATTTTCATGTTTACCCTAGACAATATAATAATGATGTTTACATTAAGTGAATATTTCATTACCCCATGGTCCACAATAAACCACGTCAGTAAATGAAAAATTGTTGATTT